TTTCACCTATGATTAGGCTATGTATCAATTTGAGAACGTTTTGAATTTTTTGCGTATTTCGAGAAAATGGAGTGTACATTATTTAGTAGCCTAGCCTATATAATTTTTTAACCAAATTTTTTACACCCAAACCAATATAAACATGTTGTAGTGTATTTATTTACCTTTATAAAAATGTATAACACCTTGGGTATATCATTATATAGGTACAACAATCTCTGAATGTCAGAAACGTCATTTTAGGACATGATGCTAACAAAATACAGTAGTAGGCCTATTTAGTATAGGCTATAACTTTTTTACAAAATTGTTTACCCCCAAACCATTTTAAACATGTTGTAAGTTAGTGTATTAATTTACCTTTATAAAAATGAATAACACCTTGGGTATATCATTATATAGGTACAACAATCTCTGAATGTCAGAATCGTCATTTTAGGACATGATGCTAACAAAATACAACCTTTTATGAACACTATTTCACACAATTCAGTAATATTTATGCATGAAGATTACTGTTATACACACACACACACAACACTTCACTAACACTAACACTACGAACTAATAACATAGGGTAAGCGGGGGGAATTGGGAGGTATGTTTTACAAATGTATCTGGTTAGGCCACTTTTCCTATTTTTGTTGTTAAATGCCTACTTAAGTAATTTTATAATACAAAAAGCTATCTTTTTCATGTTTTATTTTTTTCCCGCAGTTCCCAAAAAAAATTAAAAAAATTAAAATGTGTTTTACCCATGGGGGTAATTGGGTGGTAGGTCAACAATCCATAAACACTAAATGGGTCAATGTCACATAATGGGTGATTTTGAAGTCCTTTGGGCACAAATGCAAGATAAAAATATTATTTTAAGTAATAATGTGTTGTTATTATTATCCAACCCCTTACCTTTCCAGCAAACATAGTTTTAGATCCTAATCATAATTTATTCAATAAGAAAAATAAGACTGTTTATCATAATTTGCCAGTCGTTCACTGTCCCCAGCCTAATGCCGTAATGTTCACTCAAATAATAAATACTTCATAACCTCACAATTTTGCAATATAATGGCAATATAAACATCGGGAGATCGTCTGCTATCAAAAACAAGCAGTATTAAAATTCTAAATACGATGGGGACTTTTTTTTTAATTGTCTAAAGACAGTCCCCAAGGTACAGCATGTCAAAGACGTTTCGACAAAATGGGTTCTAGAAGTAACGGGGCGATGCGTAATTTGGCAGCAAAACACATTCTAGTGCTTGTGATGAGTTTGCGCAGTAGCCACAGCTAAACAATTTTGTGAATTTTAAGAAGATTTTTAGAAATGAACTGATAAACAGATAAGAAATGCATAGTACCTTAATTAAGATTCAAGTCGTTCACTTTAATAACTCACAAACTTTGCAACTTACAATAAAAAGGATTGCATATTCTGACAATGTCTCTAGGCCTAGAACCTAACCTCAAATTGGATGTCAACGCAGTAAATGTAGCTTTTCATAGACTAGATTTTAGATCAGATTTGCCAGTCGTTCACGCTCCAGTTGTTCACGTGAACGATGTTGAATATCGTGAACGATTGGCACAATACTGGCTGTACTTTAAATGTCGTTGCTCTTTTACAACTATAAGGTTTAGGGTATAATATTTTATGGTAGTCGTTCCTTCATTATAACATCAAATTCTAAACAAAATGAATCTTTCACAAATGACCAAAGAATGTTAGGCTATGTTTGTAATTTCATAAAAAAAAGATTTCATTAAAATATTGTTGAAACATTACATTTGGGTTTACATTTCTTCTAATTAATATCCATTTCTCGATGTGTTTTTCAGTAACTTACTCCAGTTATACATTGTTCAATGCCATCAATGCCAGTAGTTCACGGTCAGCGCCAGTAGTTCACGGTCAACGCCAGTAGTTCACGCTTACCAAAACACATATATTTCACTAACTGCTTATCCTATATTATGATGTTTATGTGTTTTCTGATACATGCCATACCGGCAATCATATTTCAGTACAAACAACAATTTACTGCAATTCACTGTTGAAATATTTGTCATTCATACTAAAGTTTCGTCTGCAAAGTAGAGCCAATTCATTTTAGGTTAGCTCAAATTGTTAAAATTTCCTCAAATTGAACGAAATTAAATATTTTGGTTTCGTTTATTTGAATTTTGAGGGGTATAAGTAACATTTATGATGACATTTTTAATTTAATATCATTTTTACTATTTTATTTTTGCAAATTCATCAGCGTGACCGACTGGCATTTTTTGTGTGACCTTCAAGCTAAAAATAGAGTTATAAATTAAGGTATACAAAATTCAGCTCTGCTGATTAGTATACATTATTCCTTGGTAAATACTGATTGTAATAGGCTAGTAGTATATCGATTTTAAAAGTAAAAAAAAAATTTTTTGACTTTCCTGAAAATTCATCATTATGTGACATTGACCCAAATGCTATTTAAAGTTGGGAAATTGGGTGTTATAAAGGAAACTAAAAGCAACATTTTTGACTAGGTTTAATAAAAAAAAAAAAAAAAATTACCATAAATTTTGTGGTGACAAACATATTTTTCCTAAACTACGCACATTTAAAAAAATCTTTAACCACAATTAAATATTATGGCCTACAGTTTTTAAATTCATAATATAAAGAGTTCATTAATAATATTAACAGGAAAATAGGGACAAATGTTTCTCTAATAAGGTTTAAATGATGTAATATGGTCTCAAAACTTTAGAAAATGAGGCACGATTTTCCAGTCCTTCGCACGATATAAAACAAGGGAGGCTGTATAAACTAATGTAGGCCTAATGCACTAGTTTACTACATCAGCTCAGTCGCTACTGCAGTCTCTATGCCTATTTAAGTAACTATAATACAATTTTGTGACTTTTTTTTAGGTCTTCTGGGTTCAGTCCAATGTGCCGTGAACTCACGGGTATTAGGTGGTATAGGGCTAATGGTATTGGTATAGGGGTAATTGGGTATAGTGGTGAAATACCAAAACAAAAACTCTAGTGTGAATTATATTCACAAAATATTATTATTATTGCCTTTTTTAATTAAATTAAGCCAAGGAAACAGTATTAGCTCAGTTTTAAAATTTACCACCCAATTTCCCATAAGGGGGTAATTGGGTGGTAACATTTTTGAAAAAAAAAGAAAAAATTAGAAGTAGTTTTATTAAGAAAATAAGTATTGGGCATGTTCTTTGGTATATTTTTATTCATTTTATGGTGAAAAATAATGTAATTTCACATGTATGAAAATTTTAATGCATTTTATATGTAAGATTGAAAAAGTTTGCATACCACTTTTAGAATCGCGAAATGACAATGGTCCCTAAAACTATTTCCCTCCTTTAAATGTTTAAAGGTACAAATCTGAAAAGGTTATGGCTTATTCTTGAAGAGATTGGCTGTCCATACATGTCATTTAAATGTTAAAATATCAATAAATAAAAAATATAAAAATTGTTAACAATTTTACCACCCAATTACCCCGCCCACCCAATTCCCCCCGCTTACCCTATTTAGTAATAAATCGCGGATAAAACTATTACCGGCAACAACACAAACAAACAATGGCAATACAAGACAGCTGACAAGACTGTAGCAGTAATGACTCACTTCCATCGTCTACATGCGAGCATACAGAAATAACCCTGAGTGCAGGGCTGCCACTCTCTGAATCTAAATTTCTTCCTCTTCAAAATGATATACTATATGACTAGTAATAATAACTTTCACTGTATATAATTCGTATTTTCCATACTGTCACCAGACGACTGTTGGCCATTTGTTAGAAATTTCGAAAACAGCTGTTTTCATAAAATTGTACCGATTGTGCAATCAATATTTAGTTATAAATATAACTACCACTATGAAGATAAAATCAATGGCTATCCAGTGGTACCACCCGCAACATCCCAAGACAAAAATTACCCGAGCAGGGTAATGCCAAACAAGACATGTTTTGCCAGTTCCCAAGTGTCGGCTGCAAAAGTCGTACCGCGCCAAAATTTCATTTGATTTCTAATCGTCGTGACATTGTTATATACCTGCTACAGGGTTTGTTTTATGTAATCAAATGAAAGTTCAGAATGTGATCTTTCGAATGGTATATAGATTATTCTCATCTGAGTTGATTGTAAGTGTTTTTTTAACTGTTAAAAAAATTTCGGCCCATACCGTCACCAGACGACATTGGCCATTCTAAGCATCAACGTCATACCGTCACCAGACGATGGTTGGCCACTGCTAGGGTTAAAAAAAATAATAATTTTTAGAGCGTTGACTGGAGGTCGACACAATTACCGTGAACTGTTTGATAAAATGTTATCGGCAGTGACCAGGATAAGAACCCACGACATCGCTGCCTTGGGCCCGAAGTCCGCGACGCTACCGACTGAGCCACCGACTCACTAAACCGGTACCTAGACTAACTTAGGCCTAACAATTGAGTAGACCCAACACCCAAATAACACCTCCTTAACCCCACAAACCCAGAAGTTATTTCAATAACTTATAGACAACCCATTCGTAGCTTAAGTTTATATAAACACAACAACGCTTTGATCTGTTTGGTTTCAATGCACAAGACCATTATGGTGCATATAAGACCAACCTAGGCCTAGTTGACCAACTTCCTTCAAACCAGCAAGGAACACGGCATTGTAAAGCTTACTAAGTTAGCCTATCACTTTGATAAGAGTAAACAAATTACGTAGCACATTTAAATAATTTGCATTAGTAATAAGTACTGTAGGTTTGATTGCACTGTAAAAAGGCAGTACTGTTTTACAGAATTTGGTCAGAGGAGAAAGAATAATGGCCACGCGCCGGTTTCGTGGAGGGCCAACATCCCCTCAGGGCCAAGGAAATTACCGGTAACTGTTGTAAAATAAAATCTAAGACTAGTATTGAAGCATTAAATTGAAAGAAATATCATTATAGTAGGAAATTATGTTAAATTTACTTACGCATATTGTGTTCCTCCATGAGTAAATCCAAAATAATTATTGGCTGCCATACTTCCCTGTGTGGTTCGTCACACTGTTGGAAGAACAAGATGGATGCCGGCTTGAAAAGAACAAGATGGAGGCTCGATTATGCGCACTCTTTAAATTACATAATATTTTAGAATTTATTCTATTCTTATATTATTCTGATTTTTATGGCAAGACCAGCCTAAAACTTATATTCAGATTGTTCGAATGCTTTATCTTTCGCATTAAAAAGAGCATTTTTAAATAAAACAATACAAATTCTTAGGAATACATTTTTTATCATCATACAAAATCATGCTAGCCAACATATTAATCGAAAACACTAAACCCAACTCGAAGAGTCGGATAATAATATGTAAGAAACTATTTTATGCTAAACTAGCAGAGCACCCGTCCTTCGTACGGGGTTGGCATAAGTATAAAATGCTTATCGCAGTTATTCTCAAGCTTTGAGTTTGCAATGGGGGGAGGACACAGTTTGGTAAAATTTGGTTCATAAATTTACGGAATGATATAGTGTAACACATCTACCATTGCCATAATGTTCTACCATTGCACCTAAACAATAGAAAAAAATAAATTATCAAACACTCGAACAATATCACAAATTATTCATTAAATTAAAAACTCAAACCTAACTGTAAACAATCCTACTTTTACAGTTCTCATTGTGTATCACAGCTTTTTGTTGCTGCTTAGTTCAAATTAGCTGTTGTCATATATACTTACTTACTCTTACTACCATGGCCATCGATACCCAAGGTGGTATTTGGCCTCGCCAACTGAATGCCTCCATTTCTTCCGATCTTCCTCCATTATTCTTATCTTCCTCATATCTTTGGTCACTTCATCTTTCCGCTCATTTTGGGACGCCCAGGAGGTCTTCTTCCAACAGGGTTCTCTTTCCAAACTTTCTTTATCAATGCATCATCTTCTCTCCTTGACACATGCCCGAGCCATCTTATTCGTCGACTTTTTGCTTCCGCCACAGCATCTGGTGCTTTATACAGGTCTCTAATTTCTCTGTTATGTTTGATCCTCCATTCACCATTTTCTCTTGTTGGTCCAAAACCCTTTCTTAGTACTTTATTTTCAAAGGTGACAAGTTTTTTTTCAGGACTTTTGTCCAGAGTCCATGTTTCAGAACCGTAAAGCAGAATTGGACGAATCACAGTTTTGTAAATGTTTAGTTTTGTGTTGACAGAAAACAGCTTTGATGATAATAGTTTAATCAAGGCAAACATACTTATATTGGCTGCATTTATTCGGCTTTGAATTTCAGAATGTTCGGTGTTATTTGCGCTTATTATTGTGCCAAGGTATTTAAAATTGTCTACTTTTCCAAAATTGTAACCTTCAATAGATAGGCTTCTAGAATGGTCTTGATTTCGTCCGAAGTGCATGAATTTTGTCTTTTCTGCATTGATTTTAAGTCCTACTGTTTTGGTTTCCTTAATTAGTCTTTTGGTCATGTCTTTAAGGTCTTCTTTGCTTTCTGCCATCAATACCACATCATCTGCAAAAGCGAGCACTGATTATATTCCTTCCTAATTTCACTCCAAAATCAGTTTTCCTTATCTCTTTTAGTGCTCCTTCCAAGGCAATGTTAAAAAGAACAGGGGATAAACCGTCACCCTGTCTTACCCCAGTTTTCACCTGTTGTCATATATATGCACAAACAAAATAATAATAGTGCTGCACCCCGTTGGGAAACCTTATAACTTTTTAATGCTATTGCATATTATAGAACCAACTTGTAAAGTTGAAAAAGCTGACTAAATTCTTTAATTCCCTTTAAATATGAATACTTATAAGGTTAACATGGGGAACTACGGACCCACTGGGGCGGAGCCCGAAAGGATTTTTGAGATAAGAATATGCCTAAATGTTAATAGGGAATGTGAGCTATCATCATGCCAAAATTCAGCCCAATCCGTCCAGTAGTTTATGTGTGATTGAGCAACACACAAACATACACACAAACTCACATACTTTCAGATTTATAATATTAGTAAGATTTCATTTTCAAGATGATGATGGTTGTTAGCCTCCGGATTACGTTTGAATATTTATAGTAGTTTATGTTAAACTCTGTTTTATTTTACAGTTGCATTATAATTTACTAGTTAAGCACCCGTCATTCGTATGGGGTTGGCCTGGTGGTATAAAATGCTTATTAGTTATACTCAAGGGGGAGGACACAGCTTGATAAAATTTGGTTCATTAAATTTACGTATGATATAGTATAACACATCTATCATAGCCATCGCATGTTCTACCACTGCACCTAAACAAATAAAATAAACGGTATCAGCATTCTGACACATACTTTCTCCCACAAGTTTGTCAAAAACCTTTATCATATGTAAGTGGTGAGAGTAAATATACGCAAATGGGTTTTGTACAATTTTGTTAAGAATTTAAAGGACTATAACATGCTAAATTTTTATCAAAATCGTTCGGGCCATTTTTGGGAAAATCCGATTTTTCTGTTATTTTATGGGGGTTTTATGGGAAAATGACATAATTTACAACAACCGTAATTTTTACAGAAATGGGATTTGTACCATTTTGTTCAGAATATAAAGGACTATAACATACTAAATGTTTATCAAAATCGGTCGGGCCATTTTTGGGAAAATTATATTTTTCCGTTATTTTATGGTTTTTATGGGAAAATTCCAATTAAAAATAAAAATTTCAAAAAAATAAAAAACTATAAAAACTGTAAGGACTATGACATACAATGTTAAATCAAAACCGGATTTTTTCTAAAATCCTATTTTTTGTTATTTTATGGGGTTTTTATGGGAAAATAACATATTTGACCATAACTTTTGAACCGTAATTTTTACAGATATGGGATTTGTACCATTTTATTTCGAATTTAAAGGGCTACAACATACTAAATTTGTATCAAAATCGTTCGGGCCATTTTCGAGAAATTCCGATTTTTCCGGTTTTTTATGGGTTTTTATGGGAAAATCCCCATTAAAAATAAAAATTTCAAAAACATGAAAAAAACGCCTGGAGATACCATGGATTAGAACCTACATACCAAATTTCATCAAAATCGGACCACAGGTGTGGTCTCTAGCTCTGTACACATCCAGACACACAGACACACACACAACCACACACACACACACACACACACACACACACACACACACACACACACACACAGACATCACTTCGAAAACCACTTTTTTGGGTCCAGGGGGACCCAAAACGAATATATCCACTCAAAACTCAAACTCGAAAATTTTGACGAAAACAATACTTTCTCCATATACTATGGTATAGGGGGAGAAAGTAAAAATTAATTCATAAATAGCTTGTATTCATGAAAAAATCAATCGTAACTATAAAATATGACGATATTTTTAAAAGCAATACTTTTGTTGAATTAGGCTAAAAGTTTCTTCTTTATTATGCCTCAGCCATAGCCTAAACGTGCCAAATAAATTCTAAATAAATAATAAATATAATAAAAAACTAGCTGTAACCCGCGGGCTTTGACCCGTTTAACTTCTTAATTTTCAAGATTATCTCGTTCGCATGGCTCAATCACGTCCTGGTTGAAGTTTGTTCGCTACGCTCACTCACCTTTAGGTTGGAGCTCGTTCGCTACGCTCACTCACCTTTAGGTTGTAGCTCGTTCGCTGCGCTCACTTGCCTTCAGGTTAGCTCGTTCGCTACGCTAACTCGCCTCCAGGTTGAAGTTCGTTCGCTACGCTCACTCACCTTTTGGTTGCAAATTAGCTGTTGTCATAAATGTAAAAGAAATAATAGTGCTGCACCCTGTTGGTAATCCTTGTAACTTTAATGCTATTGAACATCATAGAACAGAACCAACTTGTTTAATTGAAACAGCTGTTAAGATTCAATAATTCCATTTCTCATAAGGTTAACATGGGAAACTCCAGAGCCACTGGGGCGGAGCCCGAAAGGATTTTTGAAATAAGAATATGCCTATATGTTAATCGGGAATGTGAGCTATCATCATGCCAAATTTCAGCCCAATCCGACCAGTATTTTTCGAGTTTACTTTTCCCATACACACATACACACATACAGCAACCACCTCTTTTTTATAATAGTATAGATAGATAGATAATATATAAATAATAAATAAACAACAACTTGTCAGAATGTAAACAACAAAGCTGCCAGCTTTAAGCTACTTGTAAAATAGCGGAAGATTTCCCTCCACCCAGACCATGTGATTTCTCCATACTCTCCCAGATAGCAAGGACCCTTGATTCAAGGTAAACTTCCCTACTATTTGCATTCACAATTCAAGGCTGCAAATATTAGGAACATTGTGGCTAGATTCAAGGACAACAAAATACTGCCCTTTTTTGAGTTCATAGATTCCACCCTGAAACAGAGTCAACAAAACAACAGCGCGAATACCCATTCCCATGATGCAGTTCGACTCCAGACGGCACAATTTTTATTTCAGCTGCAGTTTTGTAATACGGACAAAATGAGAGTTTAACTAGGTGGCGTTCGCTGATGCATCCACAAAATTGAGCGGAGTCATCAAGGGTTTATATTATATTGTTTTGGTCATACTGTTGTTTTTGTCATGGTTTCAGTAATACCAGTCGTTTTTAATGCATGCGTTGCGAGTCTAAGTAGCAATTTTACTCTTTAGGAAGTAAAAAGAGTTTTTATCCTCTACGGAGTAAAAATAGCTTTTATCCTCTATGGAGTAATAATCAGCTGTTGTCAACTCAGTTGTAAATTTCTATTAGCCTATAAACGATTGCATGTATCGAAATATGTATCGATTCGTGCTTCGAAATTATTTTAACCTACCTACATTCTACAGTCTCTTTCCATAGCATTTTAGCATTGCAGATACATTAATCCATTCCCACACTAAACACGCTCACCTTTACTACTTCCTTCACCACCCCCTACGTCGTGGACCTATTTCCCTCTCTTCCCATAGCATTTTAGGATTGCAGATACATTAATGTAATTGCCAAAGACAGTTCCCACACTCTGCACTGCAAGCCTTACTGCACTGCAAGCCTTCCTTCACCATTTCCTACGTCATAGACTTGTTTCCTTCCCTTCTCATAGCATTTTTGGATTAAAGATACATCAATCTAACTGCCACAGACGGTTTTCACACTATGCTCATACTTTACTACTTTCTAAGCCTTTTCCTACATCGTGGACCTGTTTTCATCACTTTCCATAGCAATTTAGTATTTTAGATTTTACCCCTAACA